CTGTCAGTAGCGAATGAGACTTATTGATGTCTCTCTTATACTGATAAGGGAGATCGATTTACAATGCTACTGACCACGAGTTATAGCTCGCAGAGCGGTAGGTATGGCAAGAGGTCACTAGTTATTGATGGACACTCTTCCCTGTTGTTCATCTTGGGATTCCTTTGCAGAATCCAGAACGCCTCTAATTTTTGCTGAAGGGGATAATGCGCTTTCTGGATATTGTGCGACTCATCTCTAATTGCATTAAGGCCCCTGAAGAGGAGATTGCGTCGAAACCTAAGGATTTGATTTTGATAGGTTGTTACCTGTAAGAACCTCGCAAACACAAGAATATTCAAAGCACCTACAACTATGCCGGTGTTAAACCAAGAGAGATGTTGGAGACTATTTACATTTTTGCAATTATAAATTTGGATGTAAAGTGAGAAGTTTTCATTCCTACCCATTAGCCACAAAAGCTCAACTTCAGATTTTACCGACCACCCTACAATGACCGCCACTAACGTAAAGAAATATTCAATGTCGTTCGGAATCTCAAGCATTGGAGCGATCATGAGCTTCGGGATTTCCTCACGTCTTCAGCATCGTTCCTTTCAAACGATGCTGAGTTGATATAACTTGTTTTGACTTCATGTTATGTTAACTGATGTTTTAACGCCGCAGTGCGCGAAGCGAAAGTCTCACAGGGTTGGCGATTTGTTGGCAAAACTCCAGTCTCGGACTTCGACTTCGAGTCTACGGAACTCGAACCCGTACTTGTCCTTTTCGGGGGCCGTGCTCTTATCCCTTACACTACCGAGGCCCCGCTTGCTCTCGCCTTCTTAATGGCTTAAATGCCATAGCTTATCAGCGCTCACATGTACAACGTGTTGATGATGACTGAATTTAACAAAACTTTTCTCTTGACTCCTCGATAGACCAGCTAGCAAAGTGCAAAGGGTTGAGATTGGGCTTATTCAAGCATATTTTGCCTGGATCCCTCACCTCACCGCTGAAATATGACCCCACACCACTCCAGTGTGGCGTGATGCCTAGTGCCATCTTAAGATACGGTCAATGTCTGAACTTCACTTTGAAGGAGGTTCACTCGCTCAATATGTGAGAGAAACGAATAACATTTCAGAGAGCAAAAGATTGCTCTGCAATGAACTTTAGCTCATCAACTTCATATATAACTCTGTGCATGCTGCTTGCATACACCCTAATTATGTTGAACTGCAAAATACCACTCACTTTTTTTCTGGTCGACAAAAGCCGCCGAACAACTGAGAGTTCGAGCAGTACTCTACAATAACATAGTCAAACAAGGGTGCACCATAAATATGGCGACAACGTTAGCGGGTGTCGTCCTTTCTATTAAATTTGTGATATATTCGAGCTCTCAAATCTGCTTTGTTGCTGTACACATCATCAGTACCCGAAAAAACATTTCGGAACACCCACATATACTTATGCCATTTTATTTACACATCGGACTATGAGATTTAACGAACAACCACGTTGCGAATTTCAGAAAGCTAGCCAGAGTGCTAGATGACCTATATAACTACTAATACTGCTAATCATGCTAACTCAGGCCATAAGTGAACCATAAGTGAACCATAAGTGAGTGCAAACATGTGCTGAAGCACTGTCATGGGCAAGACTTCGGCTAAGCTTCCTGTTGAATTATGAAGGGTTACTTCACGTTCTTCTGTCTTGCCTATATGGTAACATCCACGCTTATTGCCTTCTCTTCTCCTCTACTCTGTTATCACCAGAGCTATCACATTCCACTGAGCCCACAGCCAAACCAGCTGTTGAGTTTTGAGTAGTCGGGAATCGCCAGAAAACGTAGCCCCGCATGGAATGTTAGATTCGTGGGTCTTGAGAAGACTGAAGGCTGAACTCCTTTCTTTGCCCTTCTGCTTTCCCAAAAATTCGTCGACTGTAGATGGAAATCGGTCTTACTCTTCAGCCAGCTCAATGAGTGCCTGTGTTTGGCTGCTTGGCTTGGATCAAGATTGATCCCATGTTGCTCGATATTTGTTGTAACAAAGGTACTTTGAAACCCAGTACTCTATGCTTTCTGTGAATGCCTCATGATAGAATATGTGATAACCTAGGTTGTATACGATAGAATGGCAAGTTTGCCTCCAGCACTGTTCTTTGAAATGAGTATGCGAGTGTTGGCTGAGTTTCCGTGAATAGTCAAGTATGTTAAAGTATTTATTTCTTTCATAGAACAACATTCCGAGCTAGAGAAAAAGAGGTGATTGTCTACAAAAAGAGGTTCTACAATGTTGTACCCGGAGGAACACAAAGATACTCCGAGTCGCAGGTGTCGCCAGAGGGGCAAGCGGAACATGGAGTACCTTTCTCATAGAGATGTTCATTCAATATATTTCCTCTGAAAAGCTAATAAAATTCGGCTCGATCATTTTTGTACGAGTTTTTTATAGTTATTTCACCTTGAACCATTCAGTAAAGGAGTATTTATCTGGATGTTGTGAGAAAGGCGTTCAAGCGCTCGGATCTACTAACTCTCGCTAACGATCAGATAAACTCACCCGGGCTTATAGTGACACACAGCAGACCAGTTACTGTCTCCACATGAAATGACAGCACAACCGAAATATTGAGTAGTTGCCCATGCCATCTGAAGAAACAGTTATTTCCAGCATCGAAGCCGGGATACTATCGAGTCTAAAGAATTTTGGCAAAAATAGAAAAGAGTCATACCCTTGTGAACCATTCGGTTGGTTTGCCCTGATTATATGTAGTATATGTGACGCCTTGACCGATACCGCCGGTTATCCTTATTTGACTCCACCAATGTTTTATAGCCTGTGTATGAATTAGGTGTTCAGAACAGATGTGATTTTTCAGTCTGGCAAATTTAACTCACCACTATGATTGCGTCTTGAGGGTCTTGAGCATCACTTTTCGGCATCAAATAGATGTTCTCCTGTATGTCAGAGGGTAGCGACGACATGGGGTTTGCGGAACATCTAGTAGCCGAAGTAATAGCACTGTTTTCCAAGTCGCAGTTGTACAGCTGCAAATAAAGCAGGGTACGTTTAGGCGTTTGCGGAGTAGTATTTTTCAAAAGAGGTAAACATAATTTCGTATTAATCAATACTTTCTTCTATTCTTCGTAATTTTATGATGGAGAAGGAACTGGGCAGGGGTGTCCAGCGTATTCAACCCGACGGTCAAGGCATGGAGTAGGAGAGCGCGATCATGAAGTGTAGCATAACTTCTGCGAACTTTGCAATTTTCCCCTCTCCGCCCCATGAGCTCATTGAGGTAGGCCTTTCTATGGCATTCCAAACTTGTTAGACAGTCTCTTATACTGAATTCCTTGACTCTCTTAATGGATTATGCATCTCTTCCAAAATGAAAACAATGAATTCAAACCACAGTACCAGTCTCAGCATGTTGCTTGCCTTTGGCAGATCTTTTCCGTTTTTGTTCTTAACTAAACCTTGTGCAAGCCGTGATCTGGAACAAGTAGTATGCATGTGAATTTGTGAAACCTTTAATTTCACAGAAATTTTCCAAAAATCATGCTGTACCTGCGATAATTATGGGCTATGATTGAGTTATTTCTTGTCATGTCATCCATTACGTGGTTATTCGGGCAGATTGGTTTTTCTGAAATTGTACGGTAAGGAAATGTATGGACTTTAGATTTACTGTAAGATAAATATAGCTGCGAGGATGATGTTAGGAAAAATGCGCTACATAAGAAACGAACTTGGGTTTATAGTGGAGTGTGTCGATGGTGTTTCTGTGGTCGTCACTGTACTCATACTCGTGCTGGTGCTGGTGCTCGTGCTGGTGCTGGTGCTCGTGCTGGTGCTGGTGCTCGCGCTCGTGCTAGTGCTTGTACTCATGCTGGTGCTGGTGCTCGTGCTTTCAGTTGTAGGACTGCTTGTTGTCATTCCTGAAGTATTAGACGATGGAAATTGTTTTAAATTTCTTCATTCTTTTCATTTTCCTATTTTTTTTTTTGAAATTAATGCCAAAATCAGCCAGATTATTATGCAGGGAAGATGCTATCATAGATTGAGGGTCATTTTCAGGAAATGCTCTGAACTTTTCGAACAAAATGGAGGAACCACACACATAGGTAAGTTCAAAGTGATGCGACGTTGATGGCTCCTATTTTGGGCCTACATCAGAACAATCTGCCAATTCCTTTAACGACTTCCCAAAAGACTACATACTGCGGGTTACTATTTATGTAGAGGCCTGCTCTTTGGATAACACCACTTCTGCATATTTAAGAAAATCGCTGGAGGAAGTCTACAGTGACTATGAGGTCTCTCAGCAAAGCCCCCATGCCCTTGTAAATACGAACCCGAGCTATAATTCATGGATGAGGCCGTCAGATCGGATGAAACAATCTCTTTCTTGGTGCATAGCCTAGTAAATATATCATAGAAGTTCCAATTGTTTTGATCTGAATTGTTCCTGCACCCTGAATACTCTAGTACCATAATGACGGCACGCCCTCAACTTACCAGTGCTCGTAGAAATATGGGTCGTTGTTGCCTCTGTGCTTGCTTCTGTACTGCTTGCGCTCATGCTTTCAACTGTTGGACTGCTTTTGCTCATTTCTGAAGTGCCAAATGAAACAAATTATAATTGATTCCATTTTCAAATAAAGGAAAGGACTAGTGAATGGGTCTTTGGCAAATTTCTTCATTCAAAGTGAGTAGCAGTAGCAACAGTAGTGTACGCCATTGTTGTTTAAGTACTCGCCTCATTGCTGCTGCTGATACTTTCACTGGGTGGAATGCTTTTGCCGTTTTTGAAGCACCGGGTGAGGGACAGTGTCTAGGACTTTGACTCGAAACAAAATGAGCTTGAATGGTAGACTATTTGGGAACACGCAGAAAACACTAATTGTAGCTCATAGCACTAGAAGCTGTATTGTCTCCTCAGTCTTTTCTGCACTGCCTCTCGAGCTTCCAGTCCCTTCAGTAGTGTCGTTCATTTTTGGAGCATTGAACTGAGTGAGGCACAACTGGCTTCCGATTTGCAGACAAGTGCGCTTGTCTGGTGCACTACTTAGAAAATTCCTTGTGTTACTAACCAGAGCTCATACTACTGTAAAAAGTACTTGTCTCCTTACCCTACTCTGTGCTGCTGCTCGTACTTCCAGACGCTTTTGTGTTCTCGCTCTTTCTACAGAGATAAATGAAACAATGTTGTGGAGACCAGATTTGATCCGAAGAAAGCCTCGGAGGGCGGAACAAGTTAGCTAACCGATTACTGACCTGAGCTCATAGTGCTGGAGACCATGCTCTTCTCTTTACTCTCCTCTGTGCTACGGCTTGTGCTCTCGAACGCTTGTGTGCTCTCGCTCATTCCTGAAACACGAAGTTGGGAAAAGTGAAATGTTGGCCTCAGAATCGAAAGCAAATTTGTTGATTACTCCGAAAACTACTGTGCCCAGTACTAACCTGAGCTTATAGTGCCTGAGATCGTACTTGCCCCTTTACTCTCGCCCATGCTGCTGCTTGTGCTTCCAGAAGTGGGAGAGAACTCACTCATTCCTGGAACATGAAGTTGGCTTAAGTGAAACTGACTTGAGATTCGAGGAAGAGCAGTTTTGAACGGTGGAATACTCAGAAGACATGACTGTGCGTAGCATTCACCGGAGCTCATGGTACCGGAGACCGTACCTGTCTTTTCACTTTCACCCATGCTGCTCCTTGTGCTTCCAGAAGCGGGAGAGCCCTCACTCATCCCTGGAACATGAGGTTGAGCGAAGTGAAGCTGACTTGAGATTTGAGGAAAAGCAGTCTTGAACGGTGGGATACGCAGAAGACATGACTGTGCGTAGCACTTACCGGAGCTCATGGTACCGGAGGCCGTACTTGTCTTTTCACTTTCACCCATGCTGCTGCTAGTGGTTCCAGAAGCGGGAGAGCTCTCGCTCATTTCTGAACATGAAGTTGGCTCAAGTGAACATGAAGTTGGCTCAAGTGAAACTGACTTGAGATTTGAGGAAAAGCAGTCTTGAACGGTGGAATACTCAGAAGACATGACTGTGTGTAGCACTTACCGGAGCTCATGGTACCGGAGGCCGCACTTGTCTTTTCACTTTCACCCATGCTGCTGCTAGTGGTTCCAGAAGCGGGAGAGCTCTCGCTCATTCCTGAACATGAAGTTGGCTCAAGTGAAACTGACTTGAGATTTGAGGAAAAGCAGTCTCGAACGGTAGAATACTCGAAAAACTTGACTAAGCTTTGTACTAACCGGAGCTCATGATGCCCGAGGCCGTACTTGTCCCTTCACTTTCACCTGTGCCACTGCTTGTGCTGCCAGAAGCTGGAGTGCTTTCTTTCATACCTGGAATATGGATTGCGGTAAGTTGTGACTGTGTCTTCGCCCAGGATTTGGAGGCAAGTACGCCTGAATAATTTACCATTTGGATAAGATCTACAGTGCTGCTCTAAATACAATTATTAACCTCTAATGTGGAACTCTCACTAATTCATGATTTTCATTAGCGATGAATTGATTATTTGTGCTAGACTCCGAGAGAGGTATTCATAAATGGCCTGGTAAGTACCACAGGAGAAGCTGTGCCACTTATAATCAGCACTGGAATTCGGAGCAAGTTTTCTGTTAGTTTTTTGCAGATTTCTTTGTTGATACCCCCACTCTGTTTCGGCCGGGCCACTATAAGGGGATCAGTGTATAGGATTTCCAGATACGAGTCGAGAGGTTCTTGGTTGACGACAGGCTTCAGGTGTCAAGGTGGTCGACTTTTTGTTGGTGTGATTTTCCCTACGTGTGCTGAAAAAAATGTTGATTAGATACAAACCAGCGTGCATAGTAGAGAAGATAATGGAGGTCTGCGTGCTCTCCTCTGGTCTAGGGCTTCCAGTCATTGAGTTCAGTGAACACGAGCATTCAAATGACGATACCAGCGCATTGTGCATCTTGATATACCTCATTAGATGTGACGGGAAAATTATTCCCAAAAAAAGGGATACTTACTAAATTTGCAAGAAGGAGCAGTAAAAGCGATCTTGTTAACATTGTGAAATGTTGCTGCTTCGGTGATGCCTCCAACTTTTATACGTATCGCAAACAATGGTCCAAGCAGTTTTTCTATTTCATACAAAGCTCAGCCTTCTGTTATATTGGTGTGATAAAAGGTTCTAAATAAAACTAATATCCTCTTATTATGAGCTAAGTTTTTGGGTTATGAAATTGCCGGTGTTGCGAAGTTATTTTGAAGGAAATCGATTACAAAGGAGTTTTCGATTGTGATGGATAATGCTCGACCACCCCACACAGCGACATGGATGAACTGGGGAGGCCTGGCGCAACCTGACTAACGCACTTCCCACATACTCATCTGACCTCAACCCATACGACTTCCATATTTTCAGAAACCCACAGATCTGCTGTGAAGGGGAAAATTCAACAATCGTCAAGAAGTCGAGTAGGTAGTAGATAGACGGATTGCGTCGCGCCTCTCTTCTTTTTGGAGGAATGGCATCAGTGCCCTCTCTGGTTGTTGGAGGGTATTAGGGTTAAGAAGGGCAACTATCTGGACCACTGAATCAACTTTATTGTTGCAGTTATTTTGTGTTGAAAAAAACCAACCAAATTTTTTGTCACGCGTATTCGCACCACGCACCATGTCCGACTACCTCTTCTTTGCTTACTCATCCATATGATGACGGATTTGACTACCCATATTCAACTCGTACTTCTGCACGAGTTCGATTTCGGCCACTCCGCTGCAGAAATTCATTGAAACCTGGCCAAGCAGTTCGCCTTGAAACCACTTCGAAAAGGCTCTATGCACATCTTTTTCCAATGCTTCACAACCTGAAACAAAAAGTTTGAATATGAACACTGATCTTGTCAGTCCTGTGGTATTTTCTACGCATACAGGTTGTGCCCTTTTGTATTATTTTTATATGAGCCATTTCGATTTCCAGAGAATCCCTCGAGTATTCTGAACTGTTCTCTTATTTATTATTAGGTTGTTCGGAAAGAAAAGCGCGTTGAATTTTTCTATTCATTTCTCTCCTACTACAAAAGATTTTTTAGAACAGTTCTGTCTACAATACCCACCCTAAATGTTCAAAAAAACACGAAAAAAACGCGTTTTCGCGTTTTTTTCTTTTTTTCTCTGTATCTAGGTTGATTTTCAACTCTTTTATATAGTGTGCTATATAGTTGAAGTCAACTCCTCGAGCTCTATAACATGGTTTATCTAAAATTTTTGAGAGTTCGATTTTGAGGTCCCCCATCCATCAAAGT